TCCCACCCCCAGGAATGAGGATATTTTTTTTGCCAAAAAAAACAACATTTTTTAGATAATGTGATTTTTTTAAATTGGGAAGATGTAAATTATTAATACATCATTGGAAATATGGATTATTTTTTTCCCCAAAGTTAACTAATAAAAAACCTTAAGGTGTCATGTTACATTTTTCATCAGTTGAGAGAAACAACACTGAAGCAATGAATACGGCTTAAAATTTCCTCTAGATTTGTTTGATATAAAATTGTGCTGACATTCCTATTCTTGAGTCAATTAAATTGCAATGATTTAGATACTTGTAAATTAAAATGTGCTTGTGCCTTTTATAATGATGTACTGATAAGAGAATTTATCATCACACAGTTGCTCATCATTAGGTACATGGGCGTTGGAGTTCAGATTTTACCACTTTTCCAATAGGTTATTGTACAGTAAAGAATTTGCTATCAGGGATATTTGTTTCGTTCTCCATTATTTCCATGACATTTATAAACAAATAACCAATGAATTGGAGAAGATCAAGATGAGTCATTCTCCTGTAACCATAGTAACTGATAACAAATGTTCGAATTGCTTTTACTCCAGTGGTTCTGAGGCTGCAGATATAACTTTAGTCTATGTGACTTGTTGAGATATATTTATTTTCAACCAAAACAAAGAATGGTACATGGAAGAGTAAAAATAAACATTGTCCATCTGCACCAGAATTATCAGTTCAGAAATGAAATAAACATGTGTCTCTTCCCTCTGAGTTAGCAGTAAAACAGATAAAGGTATCAGGAAAGGTCATGTTCAGTGTCCATTAATATCAACAAATGGCACTCAGAGAGAAACCACTAAAAAACCTCCCGGCATTTATACTATCACCCAATTGTCCCTTCCCTGGCCATCATCATTACCATCACCTCAACAATGAGAAGTTACACACTTCAAAGACAGAGATAATATCATAGATTATAACCCTCCTCCCTCCCCAACCCCCACCCTTATAACTTCCAGAAAATGTTTGTATGTGGTCTTAACATGTGGCTATATTTAGTGAGCACATCTGTTCAACTATTGTTTGTCCTTATACTCAAAGAGATGTAATAGTCTTTCAATAACCAGACAGGCTTATCAATTATGAAATTGCAGAGACTAACGAAAATCCCCTATTCAAAAAAAAGTTAGCTGTGAACAGGTTTTCCTCCAAATATAACAGCAGGAATATTTATCTGAACACTTTTCAAAAATTTTGCATAGATTAAACAAATACTATGTAGACCTCCGTTTACATGGAGTTTGTATCACCATGGAAACTGTGATATTATCAGAACAAACACTTAATACACCAAACTTAGTTCATCCTTCTAAGCTTAACACAACATGACACAGAAACACCAATAAACAGCTGTAATCATGATGCTTCTAATCCATCCAAACTTTCCCTCATTTTGACAGCAATGGTCTTACATATATTACTTAAACAGCACAGCTGTGCACCAAACAGTGCTGAGCCAATTTTATTCCAAAAAGGTGATAATCCTAACTGATTTGAGCTTAAGATTTCAAAACTGAATATAAATGTTAGGTGAGCTGCTGACGCTACAAAATATAACTGGTATCTCTTGGTAGAGTTATACATAGTCAGATTAACTCAAAAAATAATCTGACTTAACCCGTCTGTTTAATATGACTCTAGACGAAAAAATTGTAATTAAATACATCATCAAATTATCTAAATGTTTTAACATTCCATTTAGAACCTGCATATTTCATTATTTACTAACAGTAAATTCATACGATTTTTATTTTTTATGCTTTGGGCACATAAAATTCCACTAATTTCTCGTTGAACATCTGTTATGTATTAGATATCTATGTAATTCACACCAACCATCATCTCTGATCCTTTGTTTATTTGAACATGTAATAATCGTAAATGTCACACTGCTTTTTTAACTGCATATCTTTCCAAACATGCCGTGTGGGAACAATATTTTGTTTGGTGGAGAGGTGAAATGAGATATGTAAACAACTTTAGTAAGGTCAAAGAGATAAACAGCTGTAGTGGTGGTATACAGGGACCTTTACCATCACTATCTCTCCTGGGAAAACATACTGTATTAGTATTGAAGGCTTGTCATATGTTTTTAAATCTGTATCTTATTTTACAAAACAATTCAGACGTTTTAAAGATATTTGCTGAGGAGTCAATTTCAATTTCTTAAAGAGCACATGCCATGCTATTACTGGTGTACAGAAATGTTTGTAATTAATCTTATACAAAGATTGTATCCAATGGTAACAGATTCCTGGTCTATTGTTACCCTGGCTAATCTAACAAACAGCAAAAAGGTGGATTCCGTTATTCTGAACTAATTTACAATACAGCACAATATAGTGGGATCTTTTTTAATATTAGATTATCTAGTCTGTTCTGCAATGATCTAGTCTACAGCAGTCCTCATTGGATAATTTAGTCCACAGACAGAAAATGGGACTAAGTAAGACTAATAAAGTCCAAAGCAATACCATGGAACCTTATCAATCCCGACAAATCTAGCCTACATTGGACTAATCTAGTCCACAGACAGAAAATGGGACCAAGTAAGACTAATCTAGTCCACAGGAATACCATGGAACCTTATCAGTCCCGACAAATCTAGCCTACATTGGACTAATCTAGTCCACAGGAATACCATGGAAACTTGTCACTTTAGACAAATGTGGTTCTAAGCAATACCATGTAACCCCATCACTAATCTAGTCTGCATTGGACTTATCATTGAGACAGTCCAGATCCATTTTATTCCTGACAATGTATTTCAAACCAAAATATCAAGACTTTTTAAAACAGATTCCAACAATATGATCATCAACATACTGTCAGAACCAACTGGTTTAGTGGTCTATGTGTGGGCTGGTAAACAAATACACCAGCAGATTAACACATGATTTGCTGCATGTCTGTGAGTTTGAATGGATAAAGTTTTTTGGTTCTTACATGTGCGGTGGAAGTTCATAAATGTTGCGACATCTGTACTCTTCAATCACGCTGTCTGTGTAGAGGGCCAACTTCCTGTACGGGTTGACAGACACCACCACATTGCCGATGTATGTCTGTAGAAAGTGGAGAAGACAAAGGCTAAATTATTCATGTTTGAAACAAGACAAACTATTTAGAGTACTGTTTTTGGTACATACTACTTCAGTAAAATGTTTCCTGAGTGGTCTCTCAGGACAGACGGTAACCAATGCCAGGTAAATCTTCTCAGCAACATTGCCTCACCGTTACAACAAACTTAGCTGCTTAACACATTGACTTCTGAAAACTTAGCTACTAAAAGCATGATGACTTCTGAAAACTTAGCTACTAATAGCAAGATGACTTCTGAAAACTAAGCTACTAATAGCACGATGACTTCTGAAAACTTAGCTACTAATAGCATGATGACTTCTGAAAACTAAGCTACTAATAGCACAATGACTTCTGAAAACTTAGCTACTAATAGCAAGATGACTTCTGAAAACTTAGCTACTAATAGCAAGATGACTTCTGAAAACTAAGCTACTAATAGCACGATGACTTCTGAAAACTTAGCTACTAATAGCAAGATGAGTTCTGAAAACTAAGCTACTTATAGCATGATGACTTCTGAAAACTTAGCTACTAATAGCATGATGACTTCTGAAAACTTAGCTACTAAAAGCATGATGTCTTCTGAAAACTTAGCTACTAATAGCACGATGACTTCTGAAAACTAAGCTACTAATAGCACGATGACTTCTGAATACTAAGCTACTAATAGCATGATGACGTCTGAAAACTTAGCTACTAATAGCACGATGACTTCTGAAAACTTAGCTACTAATAGCA